GGGGGGGGAGAGGCGATGGGGCAGTGCCGTGGGGCAGTGCCGTGGGGCGGGGCCGCTCCCGGGACCGCGGAACCCCCGTCCCGGGGGTCGGCCACCGCTGGGCTGGATGCCGCAGCCATGGGGTCCCCCGGCTCCCGCCCCCCCGGCGGCTCCTACCTCGCTCCCTCCCCAGGAACCGCAGAGCCGCCATCTCGGAGAAGGTGCAGCCCCCCAGGAAGACGGCGAGGACGACGCGCTGGGACTCCCAGGCGGGGTTGTCCTCCACGGCGCTGTCTGGAGGGGGCAGAGCCATGTGGAACCCCCCCAGCCCCAGGCCCACCCGCCCCCAGCCCGGCCCCTGGCCCTACCTGAGACTGAGAACTCGTTGCCATTGAGCAGCCGCACCACCTCCTCCAGGCCCAGCCAGCCCCGGCGCTCCAGCACCTGGGGGACGGGGCAGGAGCTCGGGCTCAGGCCCGGCAGGAGCCCCAGCCCTGGGGGAGGGACCCCACCGGACCCCCTGGAGGGAGGCCGGGGCACGGGGGGACACGCAGGGTCGGGGGGACACCGATGGCGGCCTCACCTGCTCGATGATCTTGCAGCTCAGGGGGACGTAGGCCCCGCTGAACACGTAACCCATGTCCCGGGGCATTTTCAGGTCATATTCTCCATCCACCCGGGGGATCTGCAGGGACAAGAGAGACCCCGGGTACAGGACCAGCCTGCGCAGGGCTTCACCGGCCCCCCTGGAGCTGCGGGCTGAGGGGGAGGGATGGACACCCAGAGCAAACCTGACACCGCCGCCCCCTGCCCTGCCACCCCCTGCCCACATAGGCAGCCCAGCGGGCATCGGAGGGACAGGGACAGACACGTCACCTCTCTCCTGGACAGAGGCCACAGAGCACCCCCCAGCACCAGCCCTGGCCCCCACCCAGCAACAGGGCAGACCGGGAAGCTCACAGTGACCCCCCCACCATCCAGGGGAGAAGCCCCTCCGCCGCCTGGAGCAGCAGCAGCAGCTCTGTCCCCGTGCAGTGCGTGTCCCTGCAGAGACAGGCACAGGCACAGACTGACCAGGGCTCTTCTGGCACCAGCAGGCACCGGCCAGCAGCCCCACCAGGACGTACCAACCCCAGCTTCTTGCTTATGGCTCGAAAATTGCTCTTCCTGGCCAGAGAATTAAACGCATCCGTGATTTTTCCTGGAAAACGAGACAAGGAGAAAGAGCTCGGAGCCTCTGGACTGGGAGGGATGCACAGAGCTGTCTCTAGAAGAGAACTGGTGGCAGTGCCTGCTGCCCCTGTTTGCACCCGCAGAGCCCACTGTCCCCAGGAGCTTCCAGCCAGCCCTGAAGCAGCAGCTTCCATGGGGCAGGTCTCTGCCCTCGGGGGGGCAAAGGGCTGGCCCTCACCTGCGGCACGGTCTGTCACCAGCTTGCTGACTTTGCTCTCCACAGCAGTGAGGGTCTCTCCGGCCGACTGCTCGGTCAGCAGCCCCATGCGCTTCAGGTTGTGGAAGGTCAGCAAGTGCTCGGGCCCGTAGCTCTGGGGAGGGGGGCAGCTGGATCAGCCCCGAGCCCCAGCTCAAGCGTGGGGAGGCTGCTTACAACAACCCGGAGGCAAAGGGCAGAGCTCGGGGCTGAGGTGGAGCCCGTGGAGGCAGGGGCTGCCCTGCAGAGACAGCCTGGGCATCCCTAGGGAGCTCCGCTGCCCTCTCCCACCCAACACGTGCTCTGCCCCGAGCCCCCTGACACTCACCTGCAGGTACTGGGTTTTCAGGGAGCGGTAGTCCTTGGGGACGAGACCTGTGGGGAGCAGCAGGGTGAGCTCTGCCCCAAGACCAGAGGGCCCCGGTGCCCCCATCCCTGCCCAGCGCAGGCAGACTCCTCACCGTTCTCCGTGAGGGACAGGAGGCACATCAGGCGCAGGCTCTCGGTGGGGGATACCTGGGTGGGGGCGGGCAGTGAGCACCTGCAGCCCCCACAGCCGGACAGGGGGGCCGAGCAGCCCGTGCCCCCTGCCCGGGGGGGTCTCACCTGCCGGTCAATGTGCTCCTCTATGAAGCTGGTGCTCTCGCGGATGTCGAAGCCCTCCAGCAGAGCTGTGGGGGGGGAAGAGGCAGCATCACTTCGCCCACCCCCAGGGCTCTCACCGAGCTGGGGTCTGGGCTCAGCCTCCCTCCCTGAGCCCCAGGGATCAGGGCAGCCTTGCCACACTGGATCCCCCACCCCACCACACACCAGCCCACTTGGGATGACGCTTGATCCTATGTAGGACCCCAAGACCCACCCCAATTCAAACTCTCTGGAAGGACTGTGGTCACGCAGGGGGCACTCAGGCCTGGGACAAGGGAAAGGAGGGTGTATCCCAGGGGATTGGTATCATCTCCCAAAGAACAGGCAATGAGAGGCCTGGGACAAGGGAAAGGAGGGTGTATCCCGGGGGGTCTCATCTCCCAAAGAACAGGCAATAGGAGAAGAGAAAACAGCCTCAAGTTGCACCAGGGGAGGTTTAGGATGGATATTAGGACAAATTTCTTCACTGAAAGAGTTGTCAAGCCTTGAAAGAGGCTGCCCAGGGCAGTGGTGGAGTCACCATCCCTGGAGGGATTTAAAACATGTAGAAATAGTGCCCAGCAATGAACCATCCCTGGAGGGATTTAAGACGTGTAGAAATAGTGCCCAGCAATGGTTTTTGTCAGTGTGAGGTTGATGGTTGGACTAGATGATCTGAAAGATCTGTTCCAACCTGGACAACTCTAGGATTCTATAGGTGAGGCCATGAGTAAGGGATGACTTGTAATTTCTCCTGAACAAAGCAGCATGAAGAGACTTTAAATGCAAGGCCTTGAGCAGGCCTTTTGCTCAAGGCTGACACCTCCCTGTCTCTTCTGAGAAAAGAAGCTGGACGATCCGCAGCATGAAGAGACTTTAAATGCAAGGCCTTGAGCAGGCCTTTTGCTCAAGGAACCGATAAGGCTGACACCTCCCTGTCTCTTCTGAGAAAAGAAGCTGGCACCTGGACGACCCATTTTAAAGAAACACAACAGCCCTGTTTTGCCTCCTGTGAAGGACAAGCTGTTTCTCCAAAAGACACTGTGCCCAGTGTTGAGCTTTGCCTCATTATCCGTGAAATGCAAATCAAAGTTCACACCCCTGCGTGTGGTAATGAAGATCGAGGACATGCTAAACATGTATGGCTACAGCTCTCATCTCCCCAGATTTGTCAATCTGAGTACCCCCCTCTTTTCTGAGTGGGAGGTGACACTGTGGGTCAGAGCAGAGGGAGGGGGAGCGAGGACTGGGACGGGGAACAGCACTCACAATGTTCAGCCTTGATCATCTCCTGGAAGTCCTGCTTGGTTTTCTTTTTCATGATGGACTCACAGGCACCGATATCTGTGTAGCCAAGAGAGACAGCTGCTTTGGAGGAGTAACAGGCTCTGCGTGTTGCTTGTCCCCCCAGCTGGGGGCCAGCAGGGCCCTTCAACCCCCGGTAGCCCAGGCAGCCACTGCAGTGGCCAAGGGCCTCTCCCTCTCCAGTCCCAGCCCCAGCTCCTACGCAGGCTCAGCAGGCGATGCTCCTGCTTTAGTCCCTTCAGCTCCTGGGAGACAAAGTTCTTCATCTGCTTGATGTCCATGCCCCGGCGCCGCTGCAGAAGAAAAAGCATGTGGGGAGGTGACGGGGCTGTGGAGGGCCAGCACCGCGGGGGTCCTGCAGGCCGGGGCGATGCTCACGTCATACTGTGCCTGCAGGTTACGTGACTTCTGGCTCAGGAAGCCAAACACACTGGAGAAGTGCTCGTTCCGAATCTGGCTGAAGACCTGCAGAGAGCAGCGCAGCAGGGGGTGCCGGGCCAGCCGCGGCCCCCGGCACCGCAGCACCCGGAGCTGGCGCTTGCCCGCAGCCCCAGCAGCAGTGAGAGAGGGTGGTTCCCTGCCGGAGAGGCCAGTGCCCCCAAACCCCGACTGGCCAGCACAAGGGACCCTGCTGGTCACAGGAGCCGAGCTGTGCCTGCAGACCACGTCTCTCCTGTCTCTTTGTCCTGACCCATCTCAACCTGCGCCCCCAGGCCCCGCAGCACCCGGCCCGTCCCTGCTTGGGCTTACGGGAGGAAAAGCCCCACTCAGCCCCTCCCGGTGCCACCTGGGCACGGAGCACGGGGGACCCGCTTCCCCTAGAGCACCCGAGCAGGACTCACTTTGTCCTGGGCATTCAGCAGCACCTTAATGCTCTTGTCAGAAGAGGTGACATCTGGCCCAAAATCCACACTCCCTGCAAAGGACAGAGAGCTGCTTTGCCCCAGCACTAGTGCCATCCTGGCAGAAGGCAGCAGAGAGAGGCGATGCCTGCCCAGCCGCTCGGTCAGACCAGCCTCCGGGGCCACCCCACACCGGGAC